ACTGATTGATACTCTAAACATTTTAAAAGGCCAAAATTTGACGAATTTTTCTATCTCGTGACGAAAGACTTCAACAACAACGTATCGAATATCATAATTTGATTAGCGCTCAATCAACCTTTTAATGGCAATTTGTTATTTCATATTTGAGTTCTGACAGCTTACGCTATTCAAACCTGTGTGAAAATTTCGGAACCAAACTACAGGATTTTATTTAGTGCAACTGGCGATAACAGCGCACACTAAAATATACCGTGACCAGTGACTCTGTCACGTAATTCAATTGTGTAATTATCCTGAATTACTTCTCCCATCTAGATAAAGCAGCGATAACATCGTCTTTTGGCTCAGAATTCTAGTCGGCAGGAATAAGAGAAAATTTTGTCTGCACACCTGACTTTATGAGAGTTTCTATTCACAACTTTAGAACTTTCTTGTAGAAAAGGACTCCGCGTTTTTAAAGGAAATAAATTATTTCGTTACGTGTCACCTAATTTTTCTAACAATTAGCCATATCTATGTTGTAAAGTGCGTAATCCTATTAGCTGTAATTCAATTGCTTCTTTCGGTACTGATTTGCTTTTGATTAATAACACTAAATTCTTGAAGCAGCATTCGCAGTAAGATGTCTTGCTTTCTTTCGCATTCCTTAGAAACTTCGTGCGGAGACTCACGAGGAGTTTCCGGGTTGTTTAATTTACTTCAGTGTACTGACTCAGTAGAGAGTCATCTCTCATTAATCCATTTGTCAAAAGAGAGTGTCACGGAAGGAGAACTTATCCTAGCAAGGGCTGGCCTGTTCGATATAGATGACTCAGTTATGGCAAAAATGTTGGTCTGTTCAAAGCATAGGCACACCTATGGGAAGTTCTGGCGCCAAAGATCAGCGTGCCAGTATCCGACGCACCCTGGTAGCGATTCCAAGGGGGCAAAGAGCCGGTATTCTGTCAATTTGGAAATGTCAAAGGCCATTTCTAAGATGTATGCCGTTCTCGTTCAAGTAGGTTCAGGTAGGAACAAGTGATTTAAGATACTGAAGTGGCTGATTTCAACCAATCTCTCCCGTTTTCTCCCCAATCGCTCGTTCGTATATTAATCCACTTTTTCCTACGTCCAGTTATTTGTATTAACTGCTGCAACAAGCACAATGCTTCTGTGAAGGAAATGCCATGGGTCTCTTTGGAACCCACAGAGAAAGAAGACAGTGATTCCTGCGCTTATGTGAGGTAAAAGAGTTTGTGCGAATAAAAAGCGTTTGATATTGATGCATGCAGTTGTGTACATAAGCTGAGATACATAACCCTTTTCCAATAAGAAAATGCTCTACGGGCGGTAATTGTTAACAAATAACTTTAGTAATTAATCATAGCTTACTGGAGTTTTGCCTGTATCAGGGATCTCGAGGTAATTGCCTTTTGGTTACGTTAATTGTAAGACACACCGAAAGGTACATCTGTTTGTATCGATTCAGTTTTTGTAGATATTTTGTAAACTACAAAAGAGATGTGCTTAGTGCTAAAGCAGTTAGCCTGTGTACAAGGCTCTCGGCGAAAAGCCTGTAGTAAGCATCTGAGAGAACAGACGCCATGTCTTTCTCTCGCGTAACTTCTCGCTTGCGCTTGCTAGGTTTAAGGCCGATTTACACGACAGAAAATTTTTGGCACGGCTCGGATAAAATTGGTACGCGTACAGGAAACATTGATTCGGCACGGATGAATTTAGTCGTGTAAACAACTTTGCCTCATCCGTGCCGACCGATGTTTCTGGCACCCGAACCAAAATTTTATCCGTGCTCGGACCTACTCGCGAGGTAGTCCGAGCACGGATAAAATTGGTACGCGTTCCAAAAACTTTAGCCCGGGTCGGATAAAGTGCGTAGTGTAAACGATAAGCCGTGCCAAACCAACATTTTCCGAGTGAGCCTTTATGCGATTAGTCAGCACCATTTGTTGGGAGCATGTGCAGAAAGTTCACTTCACGTTTCAACATGGCGGAAGCAAACTCCAATGGAAAGTCGCCAAAAAATCGCGTGGATACTCATGGAAAGAGGAAGATGTAAAGGAATTAATTCAAATAATGCAAGAAGAGACAGTTATGTTTAGTCTGGATAATGCGAAGACGCCAAAGGAGAAAAGGGCCGCTTACAAAACTGTTCAAGTACAGATGCAAAAGAAAGGTAAGCTGATCGATGTTTATGCCCCAGGGGTTTATGCGAAAGGTTTTCAATGAAAAACTAGTTAGATCGAAATTAGTACTTTCCATTTGTAACAGGGACTCTTCAAATTTCATCGTGATGCTAGTTAAGGTACTGGATGTTATTTTCGCTCACCATTTCGTATGTCAGATAATGCAAGCCTTGATGAAGAGAAGTGTTTGTTGTAGAATACCTGGCAACTTAGCCTCTTTGTTTTGTAGGTATTAATATCAGTTTAGATGCCATCATTAACAAATGGAAAAAGCTGAGACAGCAGTACAAACAACACATGCTTGTAAAGCTTGAGAACATGCGCCAAAAAGAAATGTTGGCGCACGAAATACGGCTGAAAGAATTAGAGAATGGGCGTCGCAGGGAGGAGCGACAACATGAGCTGATGTTGGTTAATCTTTTAAGCCAAAATAGAAATCCATTTCAAAGAATGGATTTCTATGAAGGAAGCAACCCTGTCCACAGTGGCAGTGAGAGCAGCTTTTATGAAATGTAAAGACTTATAGTTTTCAGAGGTTGCCGTTGGTTGTTGTTGATGTGAAGAGACAATTTGTGAAAAGGCTTTTTTCCCTCTGTTTTGTAACCATCTGGTTCACACCTTTCATACGGAAATAGTTTTACGTGACTGTTTATTGTCCTTGAGACCAAATCATTTGGTCATTTTAAAGAAGGTTAAAATCAGCAAGGGAATATATTGTTCTGTACACTATTGATGCATTGTGTTTTAGAAAACATGGGTAAGAACCAGAATTAAAGACTTTTTTAAGTGTAAGAAATTTTGGCGTTGTTTAAGCTGACATCTTACTGATATGAAGCTGGAATAGAAGTTAAAAGTTATGTTCATCGGGACTAATAAGTTTCTGTTACAAATTCATTATATTGTTAATTTAAGAACCACTTGTGGAACAAATTTGTTACTATCATTGTTAATATTTCTTTGAAAACCACTTTCAAATAAAGTTGCTGTTTGAACTGTTTTTATTGTGATCATCATTGGTTTATTTATAATTTACATGAGAAACTCAACAGACTAATTACTTTTTTTTTCAATTGATGTTAAAACCTCGCACAAGCAGAGATACAACTTTTTGATTGCAAAATTAAACAAAACCTCCCACAAAAAAGTGCAAGATGTCATTGATACAACAATTCATATGATAAACTCAGGATCCATGGCAGCAACTGTCTAACTGTAATGAATGTGAAAGTGTTTTGTGACTGTGAAATTATTCACCACCCCTTCCAATATGTCGGCCATCTGGTGTCCTAAAGAATAGTGCAAGGGCATCTCGATTGTTGGCGGCATCTGTTTCAGTCTGTCTTTCGATAATTGCCAATGGGATGATGTCGGGCTGTTCAACAGCATTCTGTATATCCTCGAGCCATTCTTCTAAAAAGGCATCCCTCTTTAATTCACAGATGTTATGAAGGATGCATGAAGCAACCACAAGGTAACATGTGGAGTCAACAGCCATATCAATACGCTTAAGAACTCGTCGAAAACGTCCTTTCCATCTACCAAATGTGTCCTCTACAGTCATACGTGCTCTGCTAAGCCTATAATTAAAGTGCCTCTGCCAGTTGGGTGTGTTTTGATTTTCTGGGTAAGCTTTTATTAGCCAGTCCAAGAGAGGGTAAGCAGGGTCGCCAAGAATAACAGGAGCAATATCAATACCGAGTATTGTTTCTTTGATATTGGGATCAAAAAGATCTCCGTTACATCCATGATTATAAATTTCTGAATTAGAAAGCACTCTTGCGTCATGGACGCTGCCTGGCCAACCAATGACCACATCTCGAAATAAGTACTTTGAGTCCACCATTGCCTGCAGCACTTTACTATGATAAGATTTCCTATTTATATAATCAGTACAATTTTCCAGAGGAGCTTGTATTGGAATGTGGGTGCCATCTATAGCACCTGCACATGAGGGAAATCCCCATTTCTCCTTGTAGAGCTTCATGACTTCACTCAAATCTTCTCCCTTTGGTATTGACAAGAAATTTTCAGCTTTTTTGTTATTGCTTTGCAAACATCTTTTATGCAAAGACAAACAAACGACTTTGATACCCCAAATAAGTTTGCTATTGTCCGGTATTCCGCTGTGGAGCTCATGTAATAAAGTGTTATGGCTGTTCTCTTCCTTGGGGAGATGGCTTTACGCATTAAAGTATCCTGACGACCAATTTCGTCTTCAATCTGTGAAACAATGTATTCAAATGTTGTTTTGGAAACACGAAAGTTACCGTACCACTCCTTGTCGGTGAATGCGGTTTCCCACGAGCTGAAACCATTGATCTGTGCGTGCCAATGTCCAGAATCTTCGCTCTATAGTATTACAAGCTAGCACGGATCCAATTATCAACAATTTGTATATTCTTCTTCTTTTTCTGTTCTTCTGGAAAGATAAAGACGAAAAGCTTGACTTCGTAATTCCTTTCAAAAAGACGCTAGATCTTTTTTAGCAGGAGAAACTCAAGATACTTTTCGTCCGCCATGATGTTCTTACTTAGCAAGCCGCATGCGTACGAAGCGAGAATTGCGAACGCTGGCCAAGATGTTGAGCCTTTTACCCGAACCAAGACGTTAATTACAACCGCTTAGCACGGCAGAAAAAAGGACGTGTAAACAAGCACCACTGCTACTTTTTTTTGGTACGCGAACCGTTTTTACCCGAGCCGTACCAAAAATTTTCTTCCGTGTAAATCGGCCTTTAATCACTCGCGCCCAGTTGACTTTGAAAGCATGTTACCTAGTTTATGTGTACAAATTCATCTGAAACTTTATATCTTTAATCGAAGGCCAAGCAAAGATGCCGCTCTAGAGAAGTTCAAACTAGCCATGAGCTCACCTATTACACCAAGTTCTTCCAGGCTATCCCACAGCACCAATGACGAAATGTGGACTCCTTCAGCCGTGTTGGCGCTTGACGAAAGCATAGAAATACAGGATTTCAGACCAACGAGAGGAAATGTCCAAGATCCAATTCAAGTTTTCAATGCATGCATTGATAGCCTCGCCGATGCTGTACAAAAACCCAGGATTACACATTTGGAATCACAAGTAGATTGTTGGGAAAAATGCTCCTTTACTGAAAAATCTGAATTTGTGCAAAAAGCCGGGGAAGCGTGCCAGCTGGTGTGCGACGTCATAGCTCCAAGAGATGGTAAAGCGTTATTCCAAGCAGTCGTAGACCATGAACAGAAGTGCAAGACAGCTATTGATGTTGGCCTTCAAACCCTTATGGTCGCCTATCAGAATGCTCCCACAAAATCACTTAAGACTCAAATACTGAGTATTTATGCTGATAGATTCTCAGCCAACGAGCTTAAACGCTTACATCAACCATTTGAAAACCTCTCCGATAGACAAATAAAGAAGGCAAGAGCACAGGCGACGAGTGAGGGGACTGGAGTGCTCATTGAAAAAATCCCGCGTCATGGAATCCGTATACAACAGCGTCAGCTAGACCACTTCTTAGAGTTCACTATGAGGCCATATTACTATCAAGACGTAGCCTACGGTACTCGCACCATAAAACTTGAGAACGGTGAAGAGTTTGTCATACCTAACGTGGTGTGCACAGTGGCCAAGTGCACCATCATTAATCAATACATGGACCATTGCAAACAAACTGGATTTCAACCGATAAGTAAATCCACGATGTGGAGAGTACTAGAAGTTCAAGGGGCCACACAGAGGAAATCATTGCGGGGTCTAGACAATACTGCAGCTGAGGGAGCGGATGGTTTTAAAGATTTTCTCCAAATTATAGACGAACTGGAACGCGTGGGAGCGGAAAAGGATTGGTGTAAAGAAGTTCGGAAGAGGCTTCAGGAGAGCAAGTTGTATTTGAAGACTACATACCGTAATTACTGCAAAGAAGACAATAGCAAATGTGCCGATCACTGTAGGGTCTTTGCACTGAGCGATGCTGGTGACACTGACTTTCAGAAAGTATGCAGTCATAGCCACAACGTGAATTGTGAGGATTGTGAGAAGCTGAAAAGTATTCTTGAAGAAGTAAGTGGTGTTATTTCTGAGTACACAATGCAATTGGGTAAGGTTCAAGCGGAAGACCATCTTTATGAAGCAAAAAATGCTGCCGCTAAGATCTTTGGATGGAAAGGGCATATCCTGAGAGAAGAGAATCAGAATCAGTGCAAGCGTCAAATTCTTGACTCTTTGAAGGGAGATGAAGCATTTATAGTAGTTGACTGGGCAATGAAGTTCACAGCAATGAAGTTCCGGGAAAAGCAAGCAGAATGGTTTGCTAAGAGGGGAATCAATTGGCATGTGAGTAGCGTTGTTGTAAGACAGGAGGAAAGCCTAGAAGTAACTTGCTACGTACACCTTTTTAACAGCTGTAAACAAGACTGGTTTTCAGTGCTGTCAGTCCTTGAAAATCTCTTTGTCACCATAAAGTTACAAAATCCAGGAATAAAAAAGGCCTTTCTAAGATCAGATGAAGCAGGTTGCTATCACAACAGTAAGCTGGTATCATCCCTACGAGAGCTCGGACATCACCAGGGAATCGAACTCGTGAGGTACGATCATTCTGAACCGCAGGCTGGAAAAGATATGTGTGACAGGATTTTGTGTCCGTTAAAAGCGTCAATCAGGAGATACTGCAACGAAGGCCATGATGTTGTTTCTGCCAAAGACATGTACAACGCACTGAAAGAGAGACCGGTCAAGGGAACGACGGCGTCAGTGTGCATAGTCCAGGAACAGAACTCAACCCTAGAAATTAACAAGATTGCCAATTTCAACAGCTTACACAACTTTGAGTTTACACATGAGGGCCTGCGCGTTTGGAGAGCGTTTAATGTTGGGCCTGGAAAGTTTATTCCATGGAATAAAATTGTAATTTGTCCACAGAGAAAGACGGATCTCGTGGAGGAGATTCCATTCCTCCCCACTGCTGCTCGACGAATTGCATCAGCAGGAGAAAGTAATGATGGCAACGACGGTAGTACCTATCAATGCCCTGAGCCTGGTTGCGATGAAGATTTTAAGACCCAGGCCGACCTTGACCTTCATATGAACTTGCTAGTTCATCATGTGAGTCCTGTGCCTGCGAGCATGACTGAAAGTCTTTATGACAAAGTGAAGAGGGAGTGGGTTCATCACTTTCAGTCATTGTCATTAGGGAATGAAATTTCGACTGAACTGGTGGCAATGGCTACAGAACCCTTGACAAATGCTTCACAGCTTCCCGTGGGATGGGCTCTTCATAAGAGAAGTGCAAGTGTACGGTTTTCGCAAAATGTCAGGCAGTACTTGACACAGAAATTTAATATTGGACGAGACACTGGCAGAAAACAAGACCCAGAGCAAGTTGCAAAGGATATGCGAACTGCCTGCACTATAGATGGAGAGAGAATGTTCAATAGAGCAGAGTGGTTATCTAGCATACAGATTCAGGGTTTCTTCTCGAGATTGTGCCTCAAAGAGAGATCTAAAATACAACAAGAATCGGATGATGCCACAGACGTAGACGACGAAGACGACGACTTGGTAGAGGCATCCGCGTCTGATGTAGACGAAGAGTGTTTGAGAGAGGCGAGGAACACAATAATGGATGAGATAGGACTGAAACATCCAATCATGTTTGATATCTATGATGTGTGCTCGTTGGCAAGAGAGGGAAGGTTGCCTAGCCTGAAAGTCAAGATACTAAGAGACATGTGCAAACATTTTCATCTCTCATTCAAAATGCGAGATACAAAGGCAGCACTTCTTGCAAAAATGGAGGAAATGATTTCGGAGTGCAGTTGCTATGCAATCTAGTTATGACGTCCACTCGTTAGGCGAATGCGATATTCTTTTTTACAAGAACCCTCCAAAGTTATGAACCGAGACTGTTATGCAGACAGGTGTGACGACAAAATGATATTTGTTCCTGTCTACTAGATATCCGAGCAATCGCTGCTTTATTTCAACGTGAGAAGTAATTCAGGATAATTACACGATGGAATTACGTGAGAGTCACTGGTCACGGTGTATTTTAGTGTGCGCTGTTATCGCCGGTTACACTAAATAAAATCCTGCTGTTTGGTTCTGGAATGTTCATACAGGTTGAATAACATAGGCTGTCAGAACTCAAATATGAAATAACAGAAGCCATTTTTTAAAAAAAGATTGCCATTAAAAGGTTGACTGAGCGCTAATCAAATTATGATATTCGATACGTTGTTGTTGACGTCTTTCGTCACGAGATAGAAAAGTTTGTCAAATTTTGGCCTCTTAAAATGTTTAGAGTATCAATCAGTGTGGTCTAAAAGCTCTTTCCTACTATATTTTCAACTTAAAATGGCCAAAATCTAAGATTTATGGAGCTACTTATGTAAAACGGTCGGAGTTTGCTCAATGAACTAATTTGCATAATCGGCTGTCACGCTAGCAAAATCGCTAAAAGTTTGAAGTCACCACGGCGAAGAAAACTAATAAGTGCAAGATGTTTTTATATTTTTCTTATGCCAAACATCTTATTAGAAGAAATCAAGCGGAGTTTTCAATGGTCTGGTCTGGACTTGAGCAATATCAACCAAGAAAGAAAGAGTACTTTTGACCAATTTCAGAAAGCTGTCTAACGTGTGTTATTAAATAAATCATGACGAACCTCTGAATCAACGAATATAAAAATTGAAATGCTTTTTATACACCTTACATATTACTCAGTCTAAGAATACAAAAGATCTTTTGCTGCATGCGGTGTGATACGAGGACCGGGCTTTTTAACTTTTGAAATTTTCGATGTCGCAAGCGGTCAAAAAAGGGCCTTTTGCAGCTTTGACTATTGAGAGCTCTAAAAATGTTATTTTAACGTATTTCCAGAAACTAATGTGGTTTTATTTACTCGCTACCAAAGGTAGATTATTGGGCAAAGTTTGAGGGAAAACTTTATTCCGATGCGAAATGCCCTGGACCGCTTTTACAGAGGTCGCCTCTTAAAACATCTCTCTTCGTGAGCGCGCAGCGTCATGACTCATCTTCTTATGCGAGACTCTAGCGCTTAAGCAGAAAAAAAACAGATTACGGCGTTTAGAAAAATATGTACCGTAGAACCCGCCGCTAGTATCTTAAAATTTAAGTGAATGGTTTCTCGACCATGAAACGTTTGTGTACAAGTAGAAAACGGAAATTCAATTGGAATCTACCGCGATCTCTAAATCGATCGTTAAACCCTCCTAAAAAAGTGTCAAGTTAATAGCCAGTGCAGATCATAGCCTCTGGAAAACCACGTAATGAAGCACTACGGATTTCCTGATGATGATGTCAGCGTGGGACAGTCTAGTTTTATGATCCTCAATTCCTCAAATTGAACGATACTCAATAACCTTGTTTTAGTTAATGAGGATAAATGATACGGTATAAAGCCACAGAGATTTAAAAAAGTCGCCGTAGAATCAATTTATTTCACTGTGGTGACGATTCAATCGCGCCATCAACCGCTTTAACGAAGGGCTAACACTCGAAACGTAACATATTGCAAACATAAAGATCAGGTACTGGATAAAGTAAATAATAAAGGGATAAAGCAGCTACTGGGCTTTGCCATAAGAGCCTTACCTCTCTACAGTTACGAAATGACTTAGGCTGATAACAACCGAGTGACTAGAAAAGATTTTCAATCGCACTTACCAAGATGTTGACAATGTGGCTGATGCTTTCAAAATGAAACAACAAAAATAACGAATTACTTTTCCCAACCTTCCGAACTTCCGCTGTCACAGTGTTTAATGCATCCAGATCACGTGTGTTCAGGATATTCCCTTCCCCCTCGGGGCTAATCGAAATAAAAGGAAAAGTTTTAAATTGCATATTTCTTTGTGTGCCTGTATGGCCGTCTATCGCGTCCCATTTAGGTTTAAAAGTTTTAACAGTTAGTGGTCATATGATAAAATGCTTATTTACAGAATTTGGTGGGACCAGTGGGGAAAATATTTAGCTTATAGGGTCATGAAGAAAGGACCTCGCTGCGCCCCTACCACTCAATCAAGAAGTACACAGTATTTCGGTTTCGTACGTCACACTTTTATCAGTCATGATGTAATTGAACATGGAAAATGAAAAGTGTTATTCTTTTTCCAACGGGAAATGTCAGGCTTCAGTGTTTACCCCTTTGAGAGGTTTGATTTTCATCACAAGATCAATCACAGTACAACCTAAGTCTCTTCTTTTTAACGCTAAGCTATCTTTGCGTGATAATGGACTCATTGTCTTCGTGAACTTTTCATTTTCTAGCGGGTGTGATTTGCATGATCGAAGCCAAAACTACTAAAAAAACCAAGTGACTGTAATTCGGTTTTGCAAGTCACACTTTTATAACTAATGATGGTTATAAAATGATTGAGATAGTTCGCACGCTCTCAATAGGCCAACTAGTTAGTTTAGATTAGAGTATGTAAACACAGCTTGTTTGGACGTCACACTTTTAATGTTTGCCGGCGCAATTTGAAAACATTTCAAACTCAAAGTTTTCCCAATACTCGCACAGTAATCTCAAGTGTAAGTGATAAATATTGGAATTGGAGAAGTATGTGCCAATTTTTGATCTAGGGTTTAACTTCCATCCCTTCCCCAGTGAGGAACAAGAAGGAGGAAAAAGAGGAACTAGCACACTTTTGCCTGCCTTGATGACCATGAACTGTGTGGCCTAGTCGAGTAAAGACGACAAATATGCAACAAAATGCGCAGAAAACATCGAAATGTAAGGAAACAAGGAAAAATTCTGGAAAAAAACATTTTGTTTTACGCGCCCTACTTTCAAAGAAACACTTGGAAAACTGTATATCACTGAAAAGCTTATAAAGTATTGAAGAAAGTTTTAAAAGTTTGTTTTTTTCCCAGCAAATTTAATTTCAATGTTTTCTCTAAACAAAGAGTAAATGAAATGGAAGTTTGAAATTTGACCAGATCCTGTTGACAGTAACCTCAAATCAAAACTCACAATTTAAGGCAGTAACAAAACAGTTTTTTTGTTACTGCCTTTGCTACATTACAAAACTGAAGAAACCGTTTGTTCGTTGCGGCTGAACGAAAACAAAAATCATGCTGCCTAGGTCTCGAAGGTAGGGTAATTAATTTATTTTTCAAAAATGACGTTTAGTTACCCTTTTGCTGTGCCCTGAGCAAACGCTGGTCCCTCGTAAAAATGCCGAGTTAATCAAGTCGATTTTGAAATTAACGCAGGGGTCATATCATCGAAAGAACTCGGTGACACTGATTGAGAAACTTTCAAAGTGTGGCTACATTTTCCAAGATAAACAAACAGTGACGTGGCTTGATTAAATTTCCTGAACTTAAGAGTCATCAGATATATTGACAACTGACATACTTAAACGTTAAGTCAAGTACATATGTATTCAAATTGGGGAAACTTTGTGTAAATATTGGTTGAAAGCGAAGGTAATTGATTAATTACCAAAATTACCGACCAATTGCCTAAATTTAGATAGATTTTGCTTTTTGGATGTTTCTCAGATATCACTGGCTAATTTTCAGCTGGTTAAGATGTCACTTTTTTACCTATGTGTTTTATACCCTTCTTTAACTTCATTCGCTTGCAGTTTATCACTTCTCTTTATCGGAATAGTGGTTAAGATATCCGTGCTTATCTGTTCAAATTACCAAATTTTCCAGCTTTTGCATGATTCAATTCTGATCTATTCAGATTCACCGTAAAAAGGTAATAAACAACTGGTTTCCTTGGTTTCCCATCCTGTTATCACTGAAAACTTTCCACTTGAATATTCTCTTCGCATATCTTTTTTTTCCTCTAGTTGCTGCTTCCTGTTCTCTGTTTTTGCACTTAGCTTGTTTTGAAGCCAAAACAAAGGTAAAAATACAAAATATACCACTGAAAGATATTGACAACGTAAGTAATTAGAAAAAAGGCTCTAAAACGGCAAATTAAGAAAATACGCGGTCATTCAAGGCTGCTGTTTCTCAGTGAAGGCGAGGCCCATCTTTGATGAGGAAAATGGCTGTTGTTCAGTTGTGTATTTTAGCGCTGTTTGTGGCTTTCACAAGGAGTAGTAGAATGTATTACATGTATTCCAACATGATCATACTCGATGGCAAAAGAAATTACTATGTTTTCTACAACTACAATGAGTCCACGGGCACATTGGAGTTTATGGTGCAAATCAGTTTAAGTCGGTTTCGGTGTTGCTGAAGTAGCGTCAAATAAATATATGTTATTTGCCAGCCCACGGCCTCGGGCGGTACTCAAGACAGTAGGCACAGTTTTTCCCAATACGGACTGACTTAGACTGGTGAATAACATCTTTATTTTTTTCTTTAAACTGAACTAAATTCCTTCCAAAACATCCCGAATGATTTAGGGCTGTAATTACAGCAGGATCCTCCATAAATTGAGCAATATTTGAGCGCGTAAATGATAGTTAAAATAGAGGTGATGCAAATTAAAGCGAGATGCTGCATCAAAACATTTCCATGTGCGTAATGAATAAGATAAGGGTGATTTAAAGGGCTTCCTAACAAACTTTGAAACATTTTTACAAGTATCTGTCACAATCTGACACAAGTTAATTGAAGAGCGCGTAAGAAAAAAAAAAGGGCATGTACACTTTTGAAAAAACAACCAAACTAGTTTAGCAAGGACTGTCACGACAATGTTTTCTTCAAAAACAGTCAATGATCTGACGGAAAGTATTATTCACTCTCGTCGACGATTAATTCATGTGCGGAGATTTACTGCTGCTCATGAAGTAAATGGCGAGGAAAATAATTGCAAGTAAATTCGAATTTTCTATTTTGAAGTTGTAAGAGTTTGCTCGTTTGTTTGCTGCAATGGCGTGTGTAAATCTGGTCTTTCCTTCACACAAAATCTAAATTCGAATGAGACACTTCAACGAGACACAAGGGGATTTAATGCGTATATTTGTTGTAGAACTGAAAACTTCGCTCGTCCTTTTACAACGAACAAATTGTTTGAGAGAAATTGGATATTAAATGAATGAAGGTTCCATCCATTAATTCAATTTTGACCAAATACCTCACGTTTTAACTTTCTAAGTATTTTTTGTGAAGGATTGAAATTAATTACAGACAGGTTTTAGGCCGCTTATCAACCAATTTAATGGCACTTTAGCTCATACAAATTAATTTCGAAACCAATATTTTTCTGTCAACCAAGGTGATTTGAGAGAGAGAAAAGAGAGGATTCATAAGCTAGTAATAGGTTTGAGTTAGTACCCGACGTCTTTGCTTAGAAATACTGCCTGTCGGGAAAAACGGATACGGACCGCGCAAAGAACCAATCAGATTGTAGGATACGTTACCGTGCCCTCTGAGAAAAAAATAAGGGAGAATTAATGAGAGGGAGATATGGAGCGAATCAGCATTTCCTCAAACGATGTGAGTGTTCCAACTCTAGCGAATGAATTTCGGATTTGTACATCACTCTTTTATAACCACTGATGAAATTGAACATGTAAAAATAACTTATTTCATTCCTTTTAACAGGGAACGCCAGGCTTGCTATGGAGGACTTTCCTGGCAAGTAACTGTGTTTTCTTCTCGATCTGTGCCTTATCCTTGCTAAAAAATAATAAGGAAGAAAACACAGTTACTTACCAAGAAAGTCCTCCATGGCTGCTCACGATGTTTAAAACCCCCTGCGTTGAAATTATTCTGTACCCAGAGTTCTCACGGTCAAACAGGCAAGCAAACAAATCCAGCCGAACCATGGACGCTGGAAATCATCGGCTACTACAGACAAGCTCTCCAGCATATTACTCTTTTCTCGAGACCACCGAAAATTATACTTTACAAATTCAGCGCAAAAATCAGGTTTGTTCAAGTCCCCGAGTCCCACTTCCCCGAGTCCCACTTCCCCGAGTCCCACGTCACAGAGTCCACGTCCCCGAGTCCCAGTCCCCACGTCTCAGTCCTGATTTTAGTCACAGCCCTAAATCCCTCCTATGCGGTGAAACATGGTTTACCTACCAAACATGGCCGAGGCATCAGAAGGCTGCGCGTTAGAGGACAAAGCGAGTTGTACTCGAGTTTCTGCCGAGAATAACATAAGAAGGAGATTTGTGGGAATTAAGTCTAATGCTGGAAAGACGACTGAAAAACTCGTAGGTACAATGTAGTTGATGTCGGCTTGTAATTCACTATGCATGTGCACACGTTTACGTAGAAGGAACAGAATTGTAATCGTTCCCACTCTCAAACCCATTTTTAACGCATTTTCTTCCTTTCTCTTCCTTTTTTTGTCGTATTCCTTTCCTTTAGGTGCACACGATATAATTTTTACGTTCATGTCGTACTTAATTAATATGTATCCTAAGCCCAATAAATGGATGAAAACTGAGTTGTTTTTTTTTTGCTTGTTTTGGTTTGTTTTGTTTTAATTTCCTTATCTGTAACCTTGCACTGTTACTTATAATTTGATATACTAGTCGAAATCCCCAGCCCTGGACCCAGTATACATGCCTAAGTCTCTGATCCCTGGGGGATAATATGGTAAGATTTCCGCTCAGCTCCATTCTTCATTATGCATACATATCTTGGATAACTGAAAGAAAACGATGGCGAAAACAATAGATTACCTTTGTTTTACAATTGTATGGGACTGTACGGAAATCTTGCTGAAAATATTCCGATCAAACTTTCTGTTCCTTGAGCAAATATTGTCAAGGGATTAAAAAAAAAATAGTCACTGTTATTGAAATGCCTTACATTCCCTGTTCTTCAAGAAATAGGAGCAAATAAGAGAAGAGTTGTTCGTCAGATTCCAGATGAGATTGTCAACAATCTTGAGCTGCAAGATGCTGTGAGACAGGTAAATAATGAGAAACTTCACATGACCCTGGGTTCACTTGACCCTTTAACCCCATAAGTGACCAGGAAAGAATTTCTCCTTACAATATCAGTACAATATCAAGCAGACAAGTGATGAGAATGAAGAAAAATATCAATTAGGGGATTAATAGCTGATCCAATACCCAACTTCTCAGAACTGACATCAAAAGAATTGTTGGGCAGACAGTAAGGAGAATTACTAATGAGATCTTGGGAGTCAAAGGGTTGAAAAAGTAAGTTAATTACTTTCAAGCCCCTTTCAACTGATTTAGTTTTTATAAAATCCAACTAGGTTCATCATTGGGATTTTCAGTCAGCAGACTGAGTGTGGAAAGAAATTAAAATGTGACTTCTTTAAATATAAATGTATTGTAAGTTGCTCTCCACAAACTTGAATCCTTTTCAGTATGTCATGATGTCACTGAGGCCTGTAGGATTGTTATTTAAGAATCAGATCTTATTTTTCAAGTTTATTTTAATTTTGCAGTCTGTGTACTAAATTAACCATCCTTGTCCAAACCTTTTTTTTTTTTTTTGCAACTTTTTTTTTTACATATATTTGAAATGTGAGGCATTAACAAAGAGTGTGTTCTAGATAACTGTTATTTGTGTGGAATGGTCATCATCAAAAACAGGTCACAACAGTTTAACCAACTAGCTACAATTCATTTTCTATATATCAGATTTTGCACCAATAGAGATCAGGGTAAATATTACTCTCTAACCGAGATAATTATTCCTTTTACAACAGTTACCTCCTAACTACAATTTTGAAATCTTCAAGTCAGTGTGGAGGAGTTAAGAAATAAATGCTGAAAGAAGTAAATAAGCCACATTAGTTGTTAATTTTTGTTTGTGTCTTGTTCGTATGCAACACACTTGACTCCACCTTATAATACCTTTCTCCACCTGAGTGCAAAGAAAAAAAGATGAAGTCGTTACTCTAGCCAAGTAGCCCTGATTCAAGAGGAGCTTATCTGGGTTTTCATAGCATGAAGCAACAAGGAGTATTACAACTCCCCCCAGATGGAATGCTGGTCCATCACTAGGTTACTCCCAAGCATTTTATCAGACTTCCCTGACAATTGGCCAGTATCCATTCATACTCCTGGGTAGAGAGATGCATTGTGAGAATGAAGTGTTTTGTTGAAGAACACAACAGAATGACAGCACTATAACCAATATGCTACAGCATAATGGCATCTTCCATGAGTACAAAAGAAAGGGTGAGGTGGAAATGCAGTACTCCTTATCAATACATGCTATAGAAATCATGATAAGCTTTAGTCCCTCTGTCATTTGATCTTGCATGCAGACCATGGCTTTCAAATGTTGCCATGAAAAAAATGAAAAAATATGATGTCATCTTCAACCACAATAGGCATAAATCAATGTCAGTTTCATGTTCTGTTTTTTTTTTCTCAATCATCAGTGGCATTACAGTTTCCTGAAGGACAGCAGACATTTTAGAAAGGTATTTCAAACCAATTCCTACCAAACTTTTCTTATGTTTGTTATTTGTACACATAAATTATTTGATACATTTCATATGTTGGAAGGATTGTAAAAAGTAGCAATTGATAATCATATCACTTTGAATGGACTGCAAGCCAGCTGTTTACCTACTGACAGCTTGCTTAAGTATGCCAGGCATTTGTCAATTAACAAAAAGATTCCATATTGCAGTGTATCTGTTCAGCGACAGTGTGTCACTGATGGTCTTAACACATTTTGACGTCTTCCGCAATCTATTACTGTACAAACCCACAGCAATACAGTCTAATCTATTTGTTTTATGTGGTAACAAAGCAAAATGTTGTCAATAGTGACATCAACTAAATTGTATGCATCTGTCCCACAATAGCTCATATTAAGTAAAAACCATTCAAAATGTGTGCATAATTCAGCTTATCATATAATTTCAAAGCTGACATTTTGAGTGTTAGCCCTTTGTCAGAGCAAAGGACTAACACTTGAAACTTCAGCTTTGAAACTCTTTATGGTGGCCAATTTACACTATTAACTCAGTTGATAATACTAAATTATCCTGTTATACTCCACCACCAATTCAGCACCACAGTTTCTTTACAAACTTAACCCTTTATTAATTTATTATTATCATATAATAATTATATGATCTATGATGGATTCTGAAGGATTACAACTGTAAGATAATCTGCACATGCATACTTTTTTGCCCATCACCTCAAAAAAATTCATACAGAAAGTGGCTCAGGTTTTCAGCACTGGGTGACTGCCATTGTACTCAGTGGGACTTTTGTGTTAGATTCATAGGTTGTGATACAGTCATCATGGGGGATGTCATGTATGGTGCTTGCTGTGTTGATGACTTCACTGCGAGGGCTCTTGGTTGTGATCTTATGGTTCACTATGGCTACAGCTGCTTGAGTAAGAGAAAAAAAATGTTGATAGACATCACTTAATCTTCTTCATCATAATGTAATCTCATATTATACCACAACTGAATCCTTTCAGCCTTGATCTTTTTCTTCTAACCTCCCAGTTTCATCTTTTGAAGTCCCCTTTGTCTCACCTTCTACTTCATAGTTCTCTTAAGTTGCCCTGTCCCTTGCGAAATGGCTTTTGGAATTCCTAGGAATAAAGGTGTGAATTTTCACGGTAAATTCGGACTGGGAATTCCTAGGAATTCCCAACCATAACAACTCTGGTTCTAAAAACCTAGAAATTCCTAGAAATTCCCAGAAATTCCCAGAAATTCCAAGTTTATAGCCAACAGGACTTGGAGAACCAATGACTTTCCCTGAAAAGCTGTAAATCTAAAAAATTCCTAAGAATTTCTGGGAATTTCTGGGAATTTTTGGGAATTTTTAGGAATGTTTAAGAATTACTGGGAATTTTAAGCAAAAATTTGAGGCTAATGATATAAAATAAATACTTTAAATTAAAAAAACCCAGCTAAAATTCAAGTATTCAATGAAATTTATTTAGAAGCTTAATTTAAGGCTTACATGTAAAATATTTTTGATTAATTATTAACATCAATGTGTGGTAATATTAGGATGGAATTTGATTTATTTTTCTTTTCTTGAAAACTTCATACGGATTAATCTCAATTACAGCTATTCACATAAAATAGTTCTAATTAATCGTTAAATTTGGTTTGACACAAATTGTGAATAAAATCTGTTGATTCTTTTCCATAAAATACAATATCTTAAGTTATATTTGAAAACCAAGCACTCTTGGGAGTGAAGGGGCTAATTACAGACAAATAAAATTGATTTTTTGATTAAAATCTTGTTTTAACCGTAACAATAAATTAGAATGAAGTTATCCTAAACTGCAAACTTAGCTGCTGTTTGTACTGTTTGCATTTTTTTTCCTGGGCTCACAATGAGTTGGCCTTGAATGAGGTTGTCAACAAGAACCTTGACCATTTTGTATCTGGATTCCTTGACATCTGAATTTGAAAAAAAATAATATATTAAAATATGTATATTTAAAGCTCAGACCAGGCTTTTAAGATGGCTATGAGGAAAAGGGCATTCATTGGATTCTCAAATTGAGAAATCTCTGTTATATTGAGTGACTTTCATATTCGAGTTAGTACATCTCTCTCATGGATTTTACTAAAAAAGGGCTGAATACATTATTTTGTTTTTACCAAGGAGGGCTTCTTTATGTACTAAGGTTTGTTTAATAACAGTTCCTATTTTGAATCTTGAATGTTCCCAAACGTGACTAGAGGAATCTTGAAACCTTACTGATAGGTTTATTTCATTGTAAAGCATAATAAGCTTAAGAAACTGCGGCATGCAAGTGACCGATTCGATTCTCAGAATTATTCTAGTTTCAGTTGCGCCGAGCGTTATGTAAGCTTAATTCAACCCGCTACATCTATTCTTTTATAAGATTTTGATCACGTAACGAATATCGCAATTTTTACTCACCACAGACTTTCAAAATCGTAGCTTTACAGACGGCCATTCGACCCTTGTTTGTACCAGTCAACATGTCAACTGTTGTCCCTTCTTTTAACTCCACGGCGCCAACGACTTTCTTTTCTTTTTTACAACACTCACGCTATTCTCGTTTTCCCATTGAACCACAATAAAAGCTATCTTTAGAAATGTTATATTAAGCAAAACAGTTGAGAAAAGCGATCAACCGATGAAAAGTACATTCAAAGATGAGCGCCAAATGGAGTCTTCTTTGTTTCCGATCACGGGCATGATCACGTGGATCTTTTAGGACTTGTCATTGGCTAGCAGAGTGAATCCGCTGGCTTGCCGATTGCAGTGTTAGGAGAAATGCCCAACTTTATTCTGACTTCTCCGACCGGTTCTCTGCTTCTAGAAGATGGATAGCTTGGTGATATAAATAAAGATGTGAGCTCACTCTATGTAGAAATAATCGACAAGAATCGATCGTATTACAAATGCTCGTTTTCTGGCCGAAAGTTGTCGAGGAAACAAAGACTCGAAACTCACTTGAGTTGTGTTAATGGCAAAGGTGAGAAATAACACAAGCCAATCACAGTTTTGAATGCGACTACAAATCGTCTTTTACTCTCATATTTATAAAAGAAGGATACCACATTCGGAAGTATCAGAGATACGTAGATGATCCCAGTGTACCAGTACCTAAATCTACAAAGCTTGACCGTAGAAAGCGTTCAGCAACACGTTCCAACACCGCCATCTCGATTCCTCAGTCAGTCGTTTCCACTGAACTTAAAGCAGTATTGACAACAGAGTAGAGTGCGTCTTACAAAGGAGAAACATTTGTACAAGAGACAGAAGTAGCTATATGCGATTACAGAGGTGCGTTGGAACTCTGGTCCACAAATAGTTATGCACTGCCCGAAGTATAAAACAATTTTGTTGATAGCTGACAGACAGAGAAGAACAACAAGTAAACTTAAGAGCTGTTATTATTGAAGTGTGACTAGCACTTTTCATTTTTATATAAAGAAGGACTTGTAATTTGCACCAAAAATAAAAAGATGTAATGTTTTTTGGGAGATCAGTGATTGGGACATTTAAGAAATTAAGTTATGAAAGGAAACTTAGTTGGTATTTCTCACCACTAACAAGTCTTGTTGACAAATATTTTCAGATCAGAGTTTCAAATAAAGTAAATTGAAGACGTCATATAAAAGGTGTTTTTCCTCAAAGGGAACATTGACTACCTCTGTCTTGTCTGCATGCCAAATGTTTGCAAAGTGTGTGGATGATCCACAAGTATTGGAACTCTTACAAAAATGTTTTGTAAGAATAAAAACAGCAAAACAAATTACAGTAATTAGTCATGAAAATAGAGCAAAACACTGAAAAAAAAGGAGCAACAACAATCATGAAAAAAGAAAGATTAATTAGGTGTTGAATTTGTTTGTCTAAGGCATGAAATTTCTACTAAAAGTATTGTCAACAAAAAGGAGGCAACTGAGCTTGACTGTTCCAAGATTTTCTAACAAAGGCAACCAGTAATGTAGGTTAGGGAAGTAAGATAACAATGTAATTATTGTTAATTATTGTGGAAGTTGGCAATTTCCATTTAACATAACTGACAGCTGGTTCATGAGAAAATCCATATTAATGTAAAGATTTACTAAAACTTAGTTTGAGTAATAAATTTCATGATCTTTAAGTTATAAACATGTACATGTATGTATATCTCTTGGTAAGTTTTGTATAGCATACCTTTTATTGAGCCAAAGTTTTAAGCCTCTGAAATTACTCTTTTTCTTAAAACCTTCACATTCCAGGTATTGAGAATTTCTTAGAATTTATGTGGACCTCAGGGTATTAAAATTGCCTCAAATTCAATTCCCAGAAATTCCCAAGAGTTCCACACTTCTTAAATTATAGGTAGTTTGTAAAGCTGAGAATTCCTAGGAATTCCTAGGGATTCCAAGTCCTCACAAAACTGGAGTCTTCCTTTCCCAGAAATTCCCAGTAATTCCAAGCTTTTTAAATCAGAGCTAATTTGCATAGTTGGGAATTTTTGAGAATTCCTAGGAATTCCTAGGAATTCCCAGAAATTCCCAGAAAACTGGGAATTCAGTTTGCAAGGGTCATTTGCATAATTGGGAATTTTTGAGAATTCCTAGGAATTCCTAGGAATTCCTAGGAATTCCCAGAAAACTGGGAATTCAGTTCGCAAGGGGTGTTTTTATTGCCCTTGCTTTCTGTTCTCTGCTGGTAGATATGTCTAAGTTTTGAATGATATAAATCCTTGCTTTATAACTTTGATGCTTGAGCAACACAACAGTTCAATGTCAGTAGCATGGTATTTTGATGCAAACAATAGTGTTGCAATCAGTGGCTATGAATGTATGAAAAAAATTCAAGCCTGTACTGGATTCGAACCCATGACCTCTGCGATACCAATGCAGTGCTCTACCATTACTGAGCTAACAAACCAACTGGGAGCTGGTCATTATTTTGGTTCATAATAAAACCATGAAGTGATGAATCAATTTTTTCTTTTTTTTTCTTTCTTTTTTTTAATTGTGACTTATTTATGTATATATTCACTCAAACTAGCACTGGTGTGCTAACCAATAAGCAAGTTCAAATAAAGCTTTATTACTACTACAATGACCATGAAGATAGTTGGTTGCAAGTTAGCACTTTCTTTTTATCAAATATGGTTATGAAGACTGAAAATGACACTTTATTAGACTAAGTTGTTTTGGTACAAGATATCCCTCATGAAATTCGACTCATTATATTTGCAACTTTTGGTCTCTTCTATATTGATGCAAAATTGAAAGACCCTAAACAATTATTAACCATATATACAGTACTGTAGGTAAGATAATGTGAAAAGGTTCATTATTTGTTCATTGTTTTATAGTTCCTATTGACTCAACTAAAGGAATAAAGATGTTATATGTATTTGTGGACATAAAGCTGGATGCCACACATTTTGTTAACACAGTCAGACACAATTTTGAAGCTGGAAAGTCACTTGCACTTTTGAGCACAATCCAGTTTGTGACAACACTTCAAGTATGTATTAAATGATTACACTGATGGGACAGTATTGGGATCATGTTTATTGTAGGTACAGTACTCTTGACTGAATATATTGGTCGAGAGTTGGTTGATACTTAACCAATATATTGGTTGACAGTCGGTCAACAGTCAGTCGACTGACTGCTTCTTCTGGATAGGAGGAGCATCTCACATGGTTCTCTATCAGGCATTTTGTCAAGTTTCCATGACAACTCACTGGTACCCATTTCTCTCCAAGCTAGAGGGAGGGGAGAGAGAATGCAACACAGTGACTTGGCTGAGACTTAAACCCTGTGGTTTGGACCCAGTGTCTCCTTTTATTGTGTTCATACTTTCAAATAATTTTTACATATATGTATTTAATTTGTTGTTTACCCAGGCTGTATATCAAGACCTGTGTAAAGATTATCAGATAGAGATTCCGCAGTGTAAACCATTGTCACCTGGAGAGATTCTGGGCTGCACTGCTTCTAGAATAAAACACAAGGATGCATTCATGTAAGAAAATTATTAAGCAAAACAAGGAAATAATTATGTAATTTAGTTCATTATGAATTTAAGAAAACTGCACCAACTCTTTCATAGCGAGTATTCTTACACAAATTGAATATTCTTTTGAAAATCTTTCTTATTATTTGTATTCGCAAATCTAGTTGTAAGTACCGTAGTGGTTTAGTTTCATTAAAAATTTGCACCATTAGATCTGAAGCTATTTGCTTATAAATAAGCTAGAGAGGCAGCACAGATTGAGCCATCATTGAAGCCTGATTTTTTCAGATCTCTTTCGTGTAATTCTGTGAATAAAAATTCATCACTTTTTCGATTAAAAAATTGTTTGTCTCTAGTAAAGGCATACTGTCTGTGTAGACAGAGTGCGATGCCCGTCTTTTCCAGTGTTTTCCCTATGCCCTCACTAAAACAGACCCCCTACCGCCTTGTACGCTTTGGATTGTTAGATATTGTATACCTTTCTGGGCCTTTGAGACACACAACTTTGAACTAAAATTCTACTGCACTTACGCTTTCATCGCAGATACGATCCCTATAGCAAAGTGTTTTCCAGGGAATATTACGATATTGATGCCATGTTTCAAGCGAGGAAAGACGCCATAACTACAGCGTCAAGAGCTAAGAAATTTGGACTCATTCTAAGTACATTGGGAAGGCAAGGAAGTCCAAAGGTGCTAGAGGTATTGCATACAGTTAAAATTTGAAAATTTTATAAGTAAATATACTTTTTGAACGGAGTTCTACTTTGTGTGATTCAAAATTAAACCTTCAAATGTGCGTTGAAAGTAATCGGCTATCAGTTCGCCATGTCATGGGTTGACTGACGTGAACAATCCAAGCTACCCTCTCAACCAATCAGGTGCAAGGCAAATACCAATCGTGACTCGGTCAATAATGTTGCTCTCACTGTACCTTTTAATTTTAGTTCCCATCTGGTTTTGATTATATTTTCCAACGTAGTGATTGGACATCTGCTGGTGACTACTATGTTTTTGGTATTACGGCACACTATCGAAATGCACTTTAAGACATGACTCAAAATCTCTCTGGACAAAATCAATTCATTCTCGCATCTAAATATAAGTTTTTCTGATGCAATTAACTTTGGGGAAGGCTGCAAATTTAAATTTAAATTCTCCAGTTTTCTTACGATGTATGTGTGGAATATTTTCGTCTATGCAGAGGAATCTCTATTTTCTGGGCATCCTTATTTAAACGTTTTCTCTACTTGAGACACAAACTTTGATTAAAACCCTTGTATTCGATGCCGTCATTGAGGGGACACCCCTAGTTCAGGGATATTTTGCTCGTGACGGTTATTATTCATGTTATCATCTTTTCCAAAGAGCTCATAAAGCAGATTTCATGAATCCTTTCATCTTTTAATTTTATCTGCAGAAGTTAGAAGAACGATTCAGCAAGGCGGGCCTGGAATATGTAATTGTACTCATGTTTGAAATATTGCCGGGTAAACTTGGATTGTTCGAGGACGTGGAAGCGTAAGTTGCTTTTCTTTTTAAGATGTGAAAACTGCTTTCCGTCGATAAGATAAGATAAGATAAGAACCGTCTTCACGTAAATTCTGTTTTGTCAATTGTCCTTAACAAAAAATCGCATAATCAGGGCGTGAAATTGCGCCCAATACAGGCGCCAATGCGACTAAATTTTTCACTTTGGCGACCAAATCCTGATCTGTGATCTTTGATTAAAATCCTAAGAGGGCACAAAAGAATAGAAATAGAAATAGAACGGCACTAGATACTAACGAAACAATGGATGAAAACACTAGTATACTAAGCTACAGGAGAGACTAACGTAACAATCGAATGTAAGGCGGTCCTAAGACTGCGCGAGACAGTTACGAGATAGGTAATGCGCGGAGATGCTGTCGTAACAGTGTAATCAAAGAACATCCTAAAACTGCCTGAGATACCGAAGTAACAATCAACTGAAAGAGAAACTTTAAGAGAAAACAGAGATAGAAGCTAAAAGATTAGCTACTAACATAACAAGCCAATCTAAGAAAATCTTAAAAATGCGCGAGACACCAACGTAACTTTCCAATGAAGGAATATCCCGAAAGTGGGCAAAACACGAACCAAACAATCAAAAGTGCAAAAGGGCACGAAGCAGTAGTGAATGGAAGGGAATCCTTAAACGGTACAAGATACAAATGTAACAATCAAATGATAAAGAATCTTTAAAGAGTGCGAGATACTAACGTAACAATCCGATGAAAGAAAATCCTAAAAGTGTGCAAGATATCAACGTTAAAATTAAATGAAAGAAAATCCTAAAAGTGCACGAGGTGCTGTGACAAAATCCAATAAAAGAGAATTCTTAAGGTGAGCGAGATACTAACGTAACAGTCCAATGAAGGAGAATTCTTAAGGTGAGCGAGATACTAACGTAACAGTCCAATGAAGGAGAATTCTTAAAGTGCGCGAGGTACTAACGTAATAATCTACAAAATGGAATTCTTTAAGTGCGCGAGGTACTAACGTAATAATCTACAAAATGGAATTCTTTAAGTGCGCGAGGTACTAACGTAATAATCTACAAAATGGAATTCTAAAAGCGCGCGAGGTACTAACGTAATAATCTACAAAATGGAATTCTAAAAGTGCGCGAGGTACTAACGTAATAATCTACAAAATGGAATTCTTAAAGTGCGCGAGGTACTAACGTAATAATCTACAAAATGGAATTCTTTAAGTGCGCGAGGTACTAACGTAATAATCTACAAAATGGAATTCTAAAAGCGCGCGAGGTACTAACGTAATAATCTACAAAATGGAATTCTAAAAGTGCGCGAGGTACTAACGTAATAATCTACAAAATGGAATTCTTAAAGTGCGCGAGGTACTAACGTAATAATCTACAAAATGGAATTCTTTAAGTGCGCGAAGTACTAACGTAATAATCTACAAAATGGAATTCTAAAGCGCGCGAGGTACTAACGTAATAATCTACAAAATGGAATTCTAAAAGTGCGCGAGGTACTAACGTAATAATCTACAAAATGGAATTCTTAAAATGCGCGAGGTACTAACGTAATAATCTACAAAATGGAATTCTTTAAGTGCGCGAAGTACTAACGTAATAATCTACAAAATGGAATTCTTAAAGTGCGCGGGTACTAACGTAATAATCTACAAAATGGAATTCTAAAAGCGCGCGAGGTACTAACGTAATAATCTACAAAATGGAATTCTAAAAGTGCGCGAGGTACTAACGTAATAATCTACAAAATGGAATTCTTAAAGTGCGCGAGGTACTAACGTAATAATCTACAAAATGGAATTCTTTAAGTGCGCGAAGTACTAACGTAATAATCTACAAAATGGAATTCTTAAAGTGCGCGAGGTACTAACGTAACAATCTAACGAATTAGAATTCTTTAAGTGCGCGAGGTACTAACGTAATAATCTACAAAATGGAATTCTTTAAGTGCGCGAAGTACTAACGTAATAATCTACAAAATGGAATTCTTAAAGTGCGCGAGGTACTAACGTAATAATCTACAAAATGGAATTCTTTAAGTGCGCGAAGTACTAACGTAATAATCTACAAAATGGAATTCTTTAAGTGCGCGAGGTACTAACGTAATAATCTACAAAATGGAATTCTAAAAGCGCGCGAGGTACTAACGTAATAATCTACAAAATGGAATTCTAAAAGTGCGCGAGGTACTAACGTAATAATCTACAAAATGGAATTCTTAAAATGCGCGAGGTACTAACGTAATAATCTACAAAATGGAATTCTTTAAGTGCGCGAAGTACTAACGTAATAATCTACAAAATGGAATTCTTAAAGTGCGCGAGGTACTAACGTAACAATCTAACGAATTAGAATTCTTTAAGTGCGCGAGGTACTAACGTAATAATCTACAAAATGGAATTCTTTAAGTGCGCGAAGTACTAACGTAATAATCTACAAAATGGAATTCTTTAAGTGCGCGAAGTACTAACGTAATAATCTACAAAATGGAATTCTTAAAGTGCGCGAGGTACTAACGTAATATTCTAACGAATTAGAATTCTTAAAGTGCGCGAGGTACTAACGTAATAATCTACAAAATGGAATTCTAAAAGTGCGCGAGGTACTAACGTAATAATCTAACGAATTAGAATTCTTTAAGTGCGCGAGGTACTAACGTAATAATCTAACGAATTAGAATTCTTTAAGTGCGCGAGGTACTAACGTAATAATCTAACGAATTAGAATTCTTTAAGTGCGCGAGGTACTAACGTAATAATCTAACGAATTAGAATTCTTTAAGTGCTCGAGGTACTAACGTAATAATCTAACGAATTAGAATCCTTAAAGTGCGCGAGGTACTAACAAAATAATCTACAAAATGGAATTCTAAAAGTGCTCGAGGTACTAACGTAATAATCTACAAAATGGAATTCTTAAAGTGCGCGAGGTACTAACGTAATAATCTAACGAATTAGAATTCTTTAAGTGCGCGAGGTACTCACGTAATAATCTAACGAATTAGAATTCTTTAAGTGCGCGAGGTACTAACGTAACAATCTAACGAATTAGAATTCTTTAAGTGCGCGAGGTACTAACGTAACAATCTAACGAATTATAATTCTAAAAGTGCGCGAGGTACTAACGTAATAATCTAACGAATTAGAATTCTTAAAGTGCGCGAGGTACTAACGTAATAATCTAACGAATTAGAATTCTTTAAGTGCGCGAGGTACTAACGTAATAATCTAACGAATTAGAATTCTAAAAGTGCGCGAGGTACTAACGTAACAATCTAACGAATTAGAATTCTAAAAGTGCGCGAGGTACTAACGTAATAATCTAACGAATTAGAATTCTTAAAGTGCGCGAGGTACTAACGAAATAATCTAACGAATTAGAATTCTTTAAGTGCGCGAGGTACTAACGTAATAATCTAACGAATTAGAATTCTTTAAGTGCGCGAGGTACTAACGTAATAATCTGCAAAATGGAATTCTTTAAGTGCGC